AAACCAAACCTTTAAGTCAAAAAAAAAAAAAAAAAAAAAAACCAAACCAACTCATAAAGAGTACGTACCTTACTTTTTCTCCCTTTTATTCATTTTTGTTTTTTTTGATATATGAACTTTTGTGTGTCCTTTTTGGTTTCCTAAGGAAGAGATGAAAGTAATGAAAATGGCTAGGTTCAAAAAGAAGACACAAAGATAGAGGACAACGGTGCAAATACCTCAGATGGTCTCCACAAAATTATTTGAAGCTTCAAGAGTTTTTCTCACTATTGCATTCGTATGTCCTTATTTACTTTACTACTCTTATATCACAAGGTTATCACCATATCATTTCTTAAATTCTTTTGGATAAAAAAATAGTAATTAAACTGGTCAATCGATTTATCATCCCCTATATTTTAAAAGAAAAACATTTGAAAAATTGTAACCTCAGTCTTGTAATAATTAAAAAAGATCTCATAATTAGATGTCACTTAATTAGGTAGTTAATTACATTCAGTTGAAAAATAAGTAGGTCTACATTCGATTTTTATATGCCGCTAGATACATTCGTTGGTCAAATTATATGACATGATGATATGATATGATATTTATGATATAAACATTTATGATTGTTCCACTAGATATAATTACTATTTTATTTTCTTTCCTTAAATAAAACTTACGGAATTACCATAAACGACTAATATATATATATATATGACAATTAATGATTCTAATAATATATTATTAAATAAATTAAAAAATCAAATTAGCTATAAAATTAAATTTTCAATTTTTTCCTATATGTTTTATTTTGAATTTAAAAATCGAGAATAAATGACTAAAATTATTAAAATTATTATGTTAAAAATTAATGATCAATAGTTTAATTTTTATTATAAAAAGATTCACATATGATTTTAAAACCATATGAGTAAAAAATATCATTCAATAATAAATATATATATATATATATATTAAATTTCAATGAATTTTCAAGAACATATATATAAACTTATTAAATTTTTCACATTGAAATTTTTTGCTATCAATGATTTAAATATCTTAGTTCTTTTTTTTTTAATTTTATATTTTTAAAAGATATTAAACAATCGATAATATGATTATTTTTGGTATATCCCAAACAAACCGAATGGATGTGATTTTATAAAAACCGTAGGATTTAAATATGGTTTGATTTATGACATATTAAACTGAAACATGTAAATATGCATATATTTATAACGACGCATGAATATCTATTTGTTACATGAGTTAAATTATAATAATAATTTGTAAATCACTTGAATCACTTGAACTATAATTAACTAACACTTTACTGCAAGTGAGACTTCTTATTTTCTTAGTCTTTTTTTTTTTTTATCTTTTTGCTTTTTTTTTTTAACAGTAACTAAACTGAAGTGAATATTGTAAATTTGATGGACAACAATTAGTTGAAATTCTGTACAATTTTTTTTTTATCTTTAAACAAACAGAGTTGTGTTCAATCGAAGACATATTAATTTGATGAACACTAAATATGGAAGAATATAAAAACTTTTCTTTCATGCTTATGTTTTTTTTTTCAAAATTTAGAGCCTTGATATTAATTTTAGATTTGATCATTTTATTAGATGATAGGAGCCTTTTTTTTGTTTTTTATTCTTTTATTTAAATATATAATATTTTTAATAAATGATTTTTGACAATATGACTCCAAATATGACCATATTATATATAATATGATCACAAACTAAATAATTATGTTTTTTGGTATAAAACTGAATAAACTGTAAACCGTTGGTATATAAACCAAATCAAAGTGAAGTAAATATAGCTTTAGAATAGTAGTTATATTTTAATAACCGAAATACCAAAAAATCGAACCGAATCGAAACCTGATATCCGGATTGAACACTCTTAATCCAAATGAAATAGAACTATTGTTTCATTTCTCAAAACATAATAAAAATAATAACTTC